TGTATTTATTTATATTATATATATTATATTATATAATATATAATATATATATATATATATATATATATATATATATAAGAAAAGAAGGATAGCCACAATAAGAAATTGAAATCAATCCCGTTTCGAACTCTGCTTAAGTTCCTCTTCATCCGAATGATAAACCGAAATGGACGCAAGGTCAGAATTATGAGAAGATCAAATAATCGTAGAGAGACGGAATGGCCAGAGCTGAATCAGGTCTCAGGAGGAGGGTCAAGGTCGAAGGGTCCTGGGAGGGCTTTCCTCACTAACGACGAAGTCCGCCTTCCAAGCCCCATTGCAACACTCGTTATTTTTTCTATTTATTCTTAGGCATTTTCTGTCAGGAATGTGTTGAGTTAGGAATTAATTTAGTGTCTTGCTGTTGACCTTCATCGCGTAAATGACCGAAACAGGTATTGGATTCTCTGGTGTACCTAACCACATTTTTTTTTTTTTTTTTTTTTTTTTTTTTTTTTTTTTTTTTTTTTTTTTATATATATATAAATCTCTGCCCGTTTCGCTTGTGTAAAACTTTGGTCAGTCCTTATAAGGAATAGTATGTATGCCTGGAGAAGTATCCAGAATCCCAGAAGAATGAAAAAATAATCGAAATCAGAATGGTTCACTTGCCACATAGAACAAATATCCTCGACATAACAAAGCCAAATCGTGCCTAGAGGAAGGACGGACGGCAGGCGTTCAGATTGAAACATATCCATGTATAAATTCGCAAGAACGGGGTTTAGGCAACTTCCCATCCCGGTACCACTATTTTGCTTCAAAAATTTGCAGACAGAAATAAAGACATTATTAGTGACACATAAACGGATCGATAAGGTGATTGACCGGAATATGAATCATCTTTCAGTTTTCTCTCAAGAAAATCTAGCACATCGTCAAACGGGAAATTAGTAAAGAAGGATTCAACTAGTTTCTTACCATGCGTCGGCAAATTTCTGACTTTATCCATGAAATCTATCGAATGTTTTATTTGACTATTAGGAAAGGATCGCATAAAACGAGATAGAACGCTCGCTAGTCAAAAATCTAAGGGTCGGGTAGCGCCCTCTTGTGAGTTTCCGTATTTTTATGGCCTTCCTAAAGCTATCATTTCGTCTTGCAACACTGCCTCGTCCGTGCCTAGAATTATCTGCTTTATCTGCTACATCTCTTAGACAGGGTTTTTCATATGACTTCTAGAAATGCCCAATGGTGCTCCACTAAAAACAAAATGAAATTACAAACAATAAATAACTTAAATAACTATTTTCGGACTAGCTTGGATTTATATATATCGATGGTGGACCTTTTCTGTTCATTTTTGAAGCGGAGAGCAGGTAGACAAGAGGAAATAATACAGTCTGCAATTCGAAGACCAAGCTAAAAGGAAATAAAATTTTCAAAGTTTATATCAAAAGGAGTGTTATCTTAAAGGAAACATTTTTTTTACAATAACAAAAACTGGTCAAGTGTGAATATAAGTTGGAACAGCTACGATCAGGGAAGGGAAGATCAAAGAAGTGCAGTTACCTAGATGGGAAGACCTACATGCCCTTCGGACTAGCCGCCGAAAGTTCACAGCCGAAAAAGGAGGGAGAGTAAGCATAAAGTTGCAAAAACTGCTTGTTGTAGCTAGTACCTCAATATTTAAGGTCAATGGAGTTTAGAAAATATGAGAAAGGAATTGGATAACTTTTCCATTAGTTGAAGCCCAAATTGATAGTTTTCCGTCGTTCGATTTGTAATTTTAAGATGTTGATAATTAATAACTTGTATTTATTGTTATTCCCTAATATTACATCAGTAAAACAGTGATTAGTGATTTAATACAATTAAAAAAACAAAATCAGACTCGTCAAGTAACCATTCCTAGGAATGGCGGCGGAGCCACACCTTTGGCATAGCGTGGAAACATTGACTGCGTTGCTGTCACGACTGGCCCGGATGTGTCGCGAATGAAATAAGCGGCAGTTTCTAGTGTTGCAAGACAGTTTTTTGTCAGTGGAAATAATGTCTTATATTTCTTTTTGTGTGTCCTAGAACTGATGAAGGTCATATGTTTAAATAGTTTTTTATCCATCTGAAAATTGTTTACATAATTTATATATTTTCATAAACCAAATTAGATTTTCGGGCAAAATGCCATGTCATATTTGTAAAAGGTCTATTTCTCTTTTGCTTTACCTTTCTTAATCTCTAATTTTGCTTGTGCTTACAGTTGGAGTTAAATCAAGGTCTAAACAGACAAAATAAGAAAAAATATCTTTTAGGGTTCTCTTAAAAGCCATTAATAATTTTTAGGATCCTTAGATGTTTAAAATTATATATATATATATATATATATATATATATATATATTATATAATATTATTATATATATATATATATATATACATTTATATACATGATACTCATAAGTAATGTTTGCAATCTTTTTCAGCATTCTTTATCTTTTAAGGATAAAAATAAAACATTTATGTAATATTAACTTTGGTCTGTTTTTATTCCTTTTCTACATTATACATTTTACGGCACCATGTTTACCTTTTTCAACTGTAATAACACTAGTACATTACTTTATTAAATTTAATTAGAACCTATTTTAGCATGTGTATGGCACTACTGATAATGCATCACTATAATTTCCTTATTCATTATATTTTCATGCTCTTTATGAATTAATTATATTCAGACTGCTGTGATTCACTACACTTGTTTCATCTTTTATATGGCACTGTTGACATCCCTGCTAAAGTGATCTCAGTAATATAACTTACCTCATGCACAGACTAGAATACCCATTAAGGAATTCCTACACATGAATAAACTTTCCCTACTTCCTACAACCTATTCAGGAGTCTCATCAAGTATTGTGGACTTCCTTCCACATGGTACATGTACACATTACATATGGATGATGTAATAACTTACAGCTCCCCAAGGATTTTTGCTTCATCTCCAGCAAAATGGTTAATGGTTACATAACTAAATAAGTATGCTAGACAACAAAGCTCATATATCACTACAGAAAGGTGCGAGAGTGAAAAGGGTAAAGTGGAGGGGTTAGTTGATTAAATGTGCTACAAGTCAGAAGTCATAACTCAAGCAAAAAAGATTCAAAAGCATGGTCCTGGTCCCAGAGCTGCCCTTTTCTTGACATTATAATTACACTCTCTTGGGTGATGTTATAACTGCAATGGATTGTCTAACACATTTTTAAGATTCTACAAGATTAAATCTAGGATCAAGGTAAAAATATACTACAGGTCAGCTTCCTGTCCTCCTGAGAGTATGCCTAGATCTTAGCCTGAACCAGAGTTACACATTGGTAGGAGATCCTTGGCTTTAAAGAGCATATGGATCTAGAAATGGCTGACCAGGAAAGATGCTTCCATACTAGAACTGAAAATTTGATTTTGTGAAAAATATTTTTAAAAAGCTGCTGTATATGATTATATGGTTACAATGTACATTTTTGTTGTGCTATTATGCATTATATAATACTAAAGCAAAAACATTGCATAGTAATTTGTTTTATAATGCAAATGAAAAATTTCCATTTGATTTTTAAAGAATATGGATATTAAGTGAGCTGCTTTTGTGTACATGCTTTTTCATTATAGTAGTAAAGTGTACATGATTTTAGTGTAGCACTTAGAAAGTAGAGGAAATTTTATCCATAGTAACAATACCTTAAAAAAAAAAAACATCCCAAAGCACATTTGGCATGTACTCTCACTAGCCTAACTAAAGAACTACTGATAAAATGTTCTGCTTTTCCCTTGTATGTATTTTCTTGTGCTTCACCATATGATGTTTCCGAGAGAATGCCTTGCTGCATATCTCACATCTATAAGGCTTCTCTTTTGTATGCACTCTCATGTGGTTTACAAGATAACTTTTTACACTAAATGTTTTACCACAAACCTCACACCTAAATGGCTTCTCTATGCTATGTATCCCCATATGTGCAACTAGATCGCATTTCCAAGCAAATGGCTTCCTACATACATCACATGAAAATGCCTTCTCTCTCGTGTGCACTCTCATATGGTCAATCTGATGATGTTTCTGAGAGAATACCTTGTTGCAAATCTCACAGCTGTAGGGCTTCTCCTGTGTATGTACCTTCCTATGCTGCACCAGATGCTGTTTCTGAGAGAACATCTTGCTGCAGACTTCACAGGTATGTGGATTCTCCTTTGTATGTACTTTCAAGTGCTGTGTAAGAGTATATTTCCCAGAAAAGACACTCCCACATGTTTCACAAATATAAGACTTCTCTTTTGCATGTACTACAGCTATGTGTTTTGTTAGATTATTTTTACTAGAGAATACCTTAAAGCACATTTCACAGAGATGAAGCTTCTCCCTTGCATGCACTCTCATATGACGTAAAAGTTTAGTCTTGCAGTGGAATATTTTCCCACACACCGCACAACCTAAACCCTCCTCTCTTGCTTCCACTTTTTCCCCTCCCAATGCCTGATCATCTGCGAAGCAAGCATTTCCATAATCTTCAGCTCCAAATGGCCCTGATAATGACAACGGATCTTCTTCACATGGCAAATTTTCGGAGTCATTTCCAACTGTTACCTCACCAATATGTTTGACTTCAGACAAAGAACTTCCCTGCTTTAGTCTTTGCTCTTCTTCAGTCTTTACATATATAACAATCTCTGCATTTGTATCTTCAAAAACTTCTTCTTTTATTCCTTCCAAATCCTCCTCGGTGGTTTCTTCAATATCCTCTTCCTTTACAGCAATAAATTCAATTGTGCTGCTCTCCCCTTTCATATCCATGGTGTTCATCAAAGTCACTTAGTCACTAATCACAACAATGGCTGTGGGAGAAAGAAACAGTGATAATTGAGTAATCTTTGGCAAACTACAGATGACGATACATTATGATAATATTAACAATAATTGTTACCACTATTGTTACAATATACAGCATATGCCGAATAAATAACAATGAATAATGATAGTTTTTAACATTGTTTTTGTTGCTATCATTGTATTATTATAGCCAAGATATTTAAAACTAATGATTACAATAAATATTATTCATATTAATAATCTATCAAATGAGAAAAACATGAACAGAGTTGGTGGCACAAATAATAAAAATAACCATGTAATTCACTGGAATCAATTAATTCAATAGAAAAGTACTGTTGCTACAGTAGGCTTCCTATTTTGTGGAGAATATAAACATCACCTTGTGTTGCACTGCAGATATTCACAATGCAGACGACAAAGAAATGAATACCGTATATCCAATATCATTAACATGTCATCCAACTTACTCAGCAGCTGACTTTACACCCATAAATTTTCCACAAAACCTTTACACAGATTTAAGTAATATTTCTTGATGTATTACAGACCCTAAAGATATGAAATACAACAGTCTAATGATGGTATATATAGGGCATATAGAACAAACTTATGCGAAAAACTGTCATAATTATAAAACTATACGACTGATGCTACTGAAAATTATTCCTCAAAATTTATTTATACTCAAAAAAGTGCCACAAACTATATAATACCAATTCCTTACAAGCCATTCGGTAGAGACTAACACTCATATAACTGAAGGGGCAGACAAAGACAATACAACACACACAAACACACACACACATACACACAACCACAACAAACACACGCACACAACACACAACGGCACATACACACACCACACGCACATACACACACACGTACGCACGCACGCAACGCATGCACGCAACGCACACAACACACCACACACACACAACACACACACCAAACAACACACACACAACACACACACACACACACACACACACAAACACGCAAAACACACATGCACCCCCCCACAAACATATATATATAATATATATACATACATATATATACATACCATAACATACATATATATATAATATACATACATATATATACATACATACATACATATACATACATACATAATATATATATAATATTATATGCAATATATATACATACATACATATATATACAAATATATATATAATACATACATACATATATATACATACACATATATATTACATATATATACATATATACATATATATACATACATACATACATATATAACATACATACATAATATATACATACATACATATAATATACATACATACTATACATACACATATATAAC